ATGGGAAAGACTCCACACTGGAGCAAGGGAAGAGTTGTGAGAAGTCCTCCCTGTGAGCGGCAGAGGCAACGTGTGATGAACCAACCACAATCTCCCTTCCCCATCCCCCTGTGCCGCTCACGGGGAGGAGGTAAAGAAAGCAGGAGTGAATTTAAGCTCAGGAAGAAGGGAGGGGTTGGGGGAAGGTGGTTTAGGATTTGGTTTTAGTTCTCTTTTTACTCGGATTCTGATTGGTGATAAATTAAATTAATTTTTCCCCCAAACTGAGTCTGTTTTGCCCGTGACAGTAATTGCTGGATCATCTCTCCCTGTCCTTGAGCTGAGAGTCTTTCATCATATTTTCTCCCCCCTGCCCAGCTGAGGAGGGGAGTGATGGAGCAGCTTTGGTGGGCACCTGGCCCCCAGCCAGGCTTACCCCCCAACAGCCCCATATCCAGTTCCCTAACACTGCGTATGCGGTCTGGAGCTACTGCTCAGTCTTCATGGGATGTTCAGAATCAAATTGTCTGTACTTTAAGGTATGACACAGGATCTCAAGTTATTCTGCATCACATACATTTTGTGAAGTTACTTGAAATTTCATTTTCTTCCTTCCAAGCAATCTTAGCATGTGACTAAACTGAGCCAAGTAACAGCTGAGTAGTGGAGGGTAGCAAAAGTACAAGGGAAGCAGAAGATGATCATCTCTATAGTATTAGGGTTGTCCCCATGGTTTGTGTTTTGGTCAACAGTATAAAGAGAGTATGTGTACAGCTGACATATGAATATTGGTTGTGAGCACAGGAGTTTCTTTACCAGCTCCAGGCTGATCTGTGAGGAATAGATGTCTGCAGCTTCTACCTGATGCGGTGTAATCCATTACCAGGAGGTCTGGTGCCTCTGTAATCTCCTGTCAATAGATGTTTGTAACTTATGATCTTTCTTCTAAGTATATATGGTCTATATCTCCATCTGCTTGTTGAAATCATATGAGGATCTTGTCTGATCAGTTCTGACCTTTGGTGACACCTGTGCCTTTTATCTGTTGTACCAAAGAGATACTTGTTATGGGAATGTTCTTCTAGCCCAAGTTAGGAACTTATTTTAGCTTCTGAATGCATGGCCTGTCATACAGCAGGTCAGACAAGGTAATTTGCTGTTCCTTCCTTGCTCTGGATGCCATAAAGTCTGTTCACTGTGTCAACAGACTTGACAGGCCTCTTCCCTGAAATTACTTGGAGTATCCCCATTACCTCCTGTGTTTCTCTTCTCTGCTGTGAAGGGTATCTCTCTGCATCATGGAAATGGCTCAGGCTCAGCAGAGACATTTCTTCCCTTCTGTCATCGAATGCCTCTGCAGGAGTATCCTTGACTGCTCTCGTTTTCTCTACTTCTGTATTACCTCCTTTTTCCCCAGCTGTGGCAGATTCTAAGCCCAAGTGATCATGCTTTCATCATACTTTCTTTTCACTGAGTCTCTGCTCAGTCTGTCTGTAACCAACTTCAGGCTCATTCTTGGCAAGAGAAGTCATGGGCTTTCATCTGAATCACACTTGCACGGATGCAGCTTCCTCAAAAGTCAGGGGAAACAAAGTTGGTTTTGCAGCATGCTGCATGGAGACAAGGCCCACGTGTGCTGATGAGCTTGCAGCGATGTGCAGGGTGTGATTAGCGAGTCCACCTGCTAGCCCATAGTTCAGGAACCATCAGTGCTGTGCCAGCAGCTTCCTGATGGATGCACTGAACCACAAAGTTGATGCTTTGTGAAATATAATCTCAGTTTTGTACCTATAGAGATGCTGATTTGGAGGATTCACAGAATTTATTCTTCCTAAAGATTGACTGTTGAGAGGGTAACATTCCATGAGAAAAACAATTATTCCAAAATGGTGTATCTTAGAGGCAGTAAAATGGTTGGGGACAGTCCGGACTGTGTACGCACCATCACTGTGTGTGCTATCATTTTACTTTCAAATGTTTAAGCTAAGCCTACAATTAACCTTTAACTCTGAACTTCCTGGCCTCTAAATACTCACTATTTTTAGGAAATTTGACCCATAACTTTGCAGAACAGATCAGGAATTGATCAGTTAGGAAAGATTTTTATGTGGTTTGGTTTTAGAGTGGAGTGGTGTGGTGGGACTCCATGTAAACTGCAGCATGTCATACACATCCAGCCCAGGGAGGAGCAGAGGGTGTAGTTGTCTTGCACAAATTACACTTGTGGTTTCTGCTATCTCATGTCAGCTTGCTCGTTTTACAGTGCAGTTTGGCTGACTGTCCTTATCCCTGTTGAACTTTGCCTCTTTCACTTACCCTCTAGGTGAATTCTCTAGGGAAATTCCCCCTTCCCCTCATTCTTTCAGTGGGCACAAGAAGAGAAAGGACAAATCTCTGTTGACACCTCTCTGACAGATCATATTTTAAAAAACTGCTGCATGTTTTTTGATCACATTACTGAGAAAATAAATCTTTGTCTCTCTTCTAATTTACAGCTCTCAGAGAAAGATAAGCCCTATGTAGATATCCAGGGACTGACAGCCTCCACCATGGAAATCCTGCTAGACTTTGTATACACAGAAACTGTTCATGTGACAGTAGAAAATGTCCAAGAATTGCTCCCAGCAGCATGTCTGCTTCAGCTGAAAGGTAACTGCCAAGTATCAGTGCAAATTGCACAATTGCTGCTGCTGCTTAGAGACTTTTTTTTCTGGCATCCTATAAATGGAAGAGAGATTGTGGGAAGCATGATACTTATAAGTACTTATGTCAAAATTCTTCTATTGTCTTGTGTCCTATGGTCTCATTGCTAGAGGAACTGACTTGGGTGGAAAAAAAGATGATAGAACAGGTTGTTGTTTCAATCTTTGAGCTACTGTATTTCTGCGTGAGAATTCCCAAGAGGAATTGCAAGCTATACAGCACATAAATATTACACATCAGTCAACTTATAACAATAAACAAATCTTAGATGTCATCTGACCTGCCATCATAGTATGACTGGGTCATTAACAAACTGGTTGATGTCATTGCACGTGCACCTACAGAGCTACCCCAGGCAATTTTCCCAGATCCCTGGCAATTATCAAAAAGGTACTGGGGAAAACCTATAAACCTGGTAGCCATTCCACTAGCATATACATTTTTTGCTTGTAATCCATGAAGCTGAGTACAACTCACATTTGAGTCATTTCCTGGTATCAGATTTATTTAATTTTTCATTTAAATAGAAGAGTCCGAGCTCAAACACGTGGTCTACTGCTTAATGTTTTGACGTCCCTCCAAAGAAATATTTGCATGTGTGTGTTTCTGTAGTATTGTAACCTTGTTATTTGAGTTGGATTTTCATTATTGCTTAGAACTTTTTTTCTGAAGCCCTTTCTAAAGCAGTGGATTGACAGTAAGCATGTAGTGCTCATTCACCCCTCCAATTTTCCGTAGGTGTGAAACAAGCTTGCTGTGAGTTTCTAGAAAGCCAGCTGGATCCATCAAATTGTTTGGGCATTCGGGATTTTGCTGAGACACACAATTGTGTTGATCTAATGCAAGCTGCAGAGGTCTTCAGCCAGAAACATTTTCCAGAGGTGGTTCAGCATGAAGAGTTTATCCTCTTAAATCAAGAAGAGGTTGAAAAGCTCATCAAGTGTGATGAAATTCAGGTAAAACCTGAAAAGTACCGTTACTGTGCAAAGCGTTGAAGTGAAAGATTGAAACCAGTTAGAAATTAGTCCATACTCCTAGGATGAACTTCTCACACAGTTCCTGAATTTGAAATTTAATTTCCAAGAAGCTGCTTCTAATTTTTTAGCCATGTAATCTGAAACTGATGAGTAACATGTAGCTTCTGAGTAAGAATTTGTTGTCACACAAGTGTTTCTTGCAAGTAAGACAATCACAGTTAGTTACCTCTGCAGAGTTCTTATTCCCTTGTCTCCTACTTTCCCTGGAGAAGCTTTCGGAGGTTACGAAGACAAGTTGTCTCAATGCCTACATTTCACAAATATCCCCAAGACTTTAACTTCTATTTGTAGACCTTTGCATGCTACTCAGCAGCAGAAGGAATGCATGTGTTATCCCAGGCATTTGGCTGTCCTCTACTTTTACAAGCAGCAGGATGCATGATGGTGCAGGGTAGTCTGACTCTTCAGGGAGTTATAGGTAGATTTAGTTCCTTTAAGCTTGGTTTCTGGATGATTTACTATTTGGTTTCAATGATTTGGCTGTCAAATACTTTTTTCCAAATTTTCTATGAATAAGCTGAACATTAATTGGTAATGGAAAGGAGACTTGATCTTTTTTTATTCAGATGGACTTTGTTGAGAGTTGGTGTTGGCTTCTCTAGTTCTAAAAGAAGTGACTGAAGCAATCACTATTCAGAGTTCCCAGTAACATAGAAGCAAACCAGTTGTAAGTGATATCTTTGGAATTCCTGAAAAGCCAATATAGGGTTGTCCAGAGGAGGGTTCTTGATGCATGCCTTGAAAGTGGCCTTCAGCCAAGCTGACATCCTCTTGTTAATAAGCCTGCTTGAGAAAGAGCATGCAGGATAGCGGTGACGGACCCGTCACAGGCCAAGATCAGGGGTGGAGAAGGGCTGAGTGTGTTTGGTGTTTAAAGCTGCAGCTTTACCTCTGTGAGGGTTTGAGGTTCTGAGGGTTGTGGCGAGAATCATAGAATCATAGAATG